GTGTGCTAAACGGTTGTGGTATCCCTACCTCTGTCCTGGGCTATTCACCTCTCCTATATCCTCGTATCACACCTTCAATATCACAATTCCTTACCTGTTAATCTAAACTTATTTGAAATCTATTCACACTCCCTGCTGGTTCCCACATCACTCCCACTGTGCCGGGAGTGTTGATGCACGGCTGCGGTTTAATCCGAAATCCCCTCTCCTCGGCTCCTATCGGAGTCCTGTCCTCTCTTGTTTCGTAGGATCCTTTCCTTGTGATTTCACTACATTCTGCCACCGTATCCCTGCTACTCAAGGCGCCATGTTCAACACTCTGCCTCAAGCCTTTGATAGCCCGTATACACCCGCCGGACTGCGCAAACTCCTCAAGTATGGATTCTCAATTGGCATGGCAACCTAACCTGATGCTGCAGACTCTCTTATGGCTCTGTGGCATGTGCACCATGTGAACTTCGTGGTCAAGCCTTTACTTCATGCACCACGTCCATAAGCAATCCTATCTACTAATTGCTAACTAGAAATGGTCAGAACCGCTGCTCTCGCTCTTCTATTCCTAATGCCAAGTTTACGACTTTCTCTTGCGTGCCAATCTCCAAATATGATAGTTTTACCATATTTGAATAGGTTTACTGTAGACGTCTCCTCCCGGTTTCTGATTGCTCCTCTCTGGTCTTCTTGTAATTTCTTTTCATAAACTTAAAAGTATTACCTTTGTCCAGTCATCTTCTTTTTGCTGATATTGCTGTTACCTGATCTTCTCCGAGTTCGCTTAGGCAGTATGCAAAGTTTTCGCTAATCCTGCCTTCTTCAAGTCTCCTGTTCATTAGATTTCTTTCAGCCAAAATATCAACGGCCTCTTTGATCTCGCGTTTTCTCATATTTCCACCAAATACAACCAGACTTTCTGTCGAGTTTCACTTGATTTCGTGTCCCGTCCGTGCGATTTGTTCCGTCATTCCAGAGCTTCAGTGTCCATGTTTCTGCAGAGTCCTTTGTGTTTCTTGATTCGTGGGCTGAATTTCTTGTTATCAACACCCTCACTGTGCTAGCGCATCTTGCAACCCGTTATTCTGTATGAATAAGGGTAGGGTAAGAAGATCAGGAGAAAGCAAGTGTATCCGATATATGAGCTCTGCTCACCCTGTTTCGTTCAAGGTGAGCCCATTCAAATCGAGTAGAACCATCACATTTTGGGGTTGGCACGCCATAGAATGTCATATAAAAGCGAGAGAAACGGTAGTGGCTATTTCTAGTTGGCGCTTAGTAGGCAAGTTGACTCATAGACGTCGTCCACGAAGTAAAGGATTGAGCATGAGATTCACTCGGTGCACAGACCGCATAGCGATAGGGGAATCTACAGCTTCAACTTAGGTTGACATGCCAAAATGAGAATCCAGACATTATGGGCTCCCGCAGTAAGGCTGGTGTATGCGTGCTATTAAAGTCTTGAGGTAGTGTTGAACATAACGCCTTGAGTAGCACGGATACGGTGGCAGAATGTAGTGAAATCCCCAAAACAGGCAGACAAGAGAAGGATTCTAAGGAGCAAGAGGGGACTGTGATAGGACCCAAAGAGGGAGGATTGGGGATTAAAATGCACTCGTGGGACAGCACTCCCGGCACAGTGGGAGTGCGAATAGATTTCGAATAAGTTTAGATTAACAAGTAAGAAATTGTGATATTGAAAGGGTGATACGAGGATATAGGAGAGGGAGAGATACCACAACCATTTAGCACACATTTGGTCAAAGGATCGACCTGATTTGTCTCTTTGACGAGTTGTAGTGTGTTGTTGAGAATGGCAAGACTCGCGGGCAATACCGGCGAAGCGTCTGGCAATGTACCAAGTCAACAGTCCTACTCTGGAAATGATCATCCATACCGTGGACTCCGGACAAGGTGTGTTCGTCTAGGTCTTCGTGCCAATGTAACCAAGTTGCACGAACAAGTTCATATAGCCTCTTAAGATAACATACCGTATTTCCCCATGTATAAGCACCCCCTTTGTATAAGCCACTCCCCAATTTTTTGAGTGTGAAGTTTTGAAAAAATATTTCATTAGTGAAACAAGTTACAAAGAAAGAAAAGTCACAAACAAACAAAATTCAAGATTCATAATAATCACTCATACACTCATCATGACTGTCTGGTGCATCAGGTATAGTGACGACCCGCTCACATTCCTCGTCTTCTTTAACATCACTGATAACGAATTTAGCTAACAATTCTTCCTCCTCTGTATCATCTTCATCGCCATCTTCATATATCAAGTGATCTTCTGAACCATCAAGAGAATTATAGATTCCACATTTTTTAAAGACTGTCCTCATCGACAGCTTCTCTCTCTTCATGAAGA